GGGGGGGGGGTTGGGGGGGGGGAGGTAATGCAGACATCAGGTATTGATTTTGTGGGTTTAGTAACACGTGTAGGATCATCAATTATTTGTGTTGATTGGTACAGTTGCATTATTTCCTGGAGCATTTTGACATTCGACGGGTTTGGATCGGGTGGGTTACAGTTCAGATCACCTAACATGTAAACTTCTTTGTTTTCATTATCCACTAGTTGAATTAGCCTTTCAATTTTTGCCTTCGAGTTGTTGGCCTGAGAAAGTCGTTCATATCCTCCACGGTGGCGCCTGAAAAGGACTTTACTGCGACATTTTGCTCGGTATTAGATAATTCCCACCCCACGTATTTTATTATAGAATCTTCTGCTACAACAACAGTTTTCCTTTTCTGTTGTTGAGGCTGTTGTTCTTGTTGTTCAGCTTTTGCCTGTTCTTCTTCCTGCGGCTTACGTGATGCGTCATCTTTGGTTGTCTTTTTCTTTGACTTGGATTTCCTTTTCTTTTTTTGTTGTACTTGATCTTCCTCAGTTTTCTGGTTTGATATTACGCTTGATTCGCCGCTGTCTACTTGCTCGTTTTCCAGTACCGAATATTTGTTCTTTAATTTAATATTCGGGTTTATGATATCTTTTGACTGGGTGCACTCATCCACTTCATTGCACAGCTTTTGTTCAATAACATTGTTTTCTACTACGCTATTGGTTTCAGCAATTAGCAGACGCATGGCAGTAATTACGCTGTCCCTTTCTTGTTCTGCGTTTTTTGTCTTTTGTTGCAAGTCAGCTTAGTATAAATGATATGTTGTTGATTCTTTCGATGTTTTCATTATTTTCGTTTTTTAAAAGTTTGTTCTCGTCCATTAGTTTATAATTTTTTTCTTTTAGGCAATCAACTTCGTTTTTTGATTCTTTAACTAACAATAGATTGGAGTCCATTTTTGGTTCCCTTATGTTTTCTAGAACAGCCGTATTTCCGTTTACTTCTTTGGTAAGAGCTTGTATATATATTTGGCTTTGAAGGGCTTCAAGGGACAACATTTGGTCATCTTGTATGGAACAGCTGTTTGCTGGAATTTTTCCGATAACATTAGGAATAGCTTCTTCGCATTGAATTTCATCAACAAATGGCCGGTTAACATCATTTACGTCTCTCGAGTCATTAATATTCAAAGTCGAAGTAACATGCGTCTCTTCAATATGGCCGTCTTGCTTCGATGCTTCTTTTCCAGTTTCATTTGCCAGCTTCCCCGATATTAGGGCAGCAGAATTGAAAATCTCTCCGATTTCATCTTTTAGTTTACCATTTAAAGTGATTGTTTGTGTATCGGGATACCATCGAAGATCAATATCTTCGGATTTAAACTGTTTAGCGCCTCCTCCGGGGCAGCACCAACCGCCATCAGCTAAATTCAATATTTCTTCTACAAACTTCTGTAAATCTTGTAAGGATTTTGTCCAAATCAACTTGCCTTTGTTGTTGAATACATGAATGATACACCATGCAGAAGACTCATTTCTGGCAAAAATTAAGCTTCAATCTTAAAAATCAAGTGTCGAAATAGCGGAGCTAAAATAACACGTCCGTCAGGACCTATTTATTTATTTATAACCTATTCAGTTATATTAAATTGAGATAACTATATGTTGAGAAAGACATTGCCAGGTTTTACCATTATTATAGGAGCGCAGTGTCCACATTTCCCGATACTTACCCTGAAGAGGTTCTGTTGAGATATAGATGAAGGGTTTGTAATTCCAAGTGACGTGTTGTTCTGGTTAAATAAATTCGGTCTTATGTTTGGGAAGGGAAACATTCCGGGACGTGGTCCTCCAGAAGAGTAGAATGGAGGTTGGTTACGGACTGAGGTTTGAAGAATGTATCTAGGTGAGGGGGTTATAGATGTATTTGTATAAGCATTTCTAAGGAAAAATAAACAACATTTTAATAAAGAGCAGTCACTTTTTTAGCATTATAACTACACGTAATAACATTTCACATATCTAGTGCATAAATATACTATGGTATACCAAGTATCTCAGGGGAGGACGCTTATATACTGGTACACCACAAGTAAAAACATTAAAGTGCTACTTATCCTAAATATGATTTTTGGGTCATGCTAAGAAAAAACTTGCCGGATATGATGTCATCACATGAATTGTAAATTCC